GCCCCGCGGTGAGAGGTGCTGCTGGCAGAAGGCTGGGGAACCGCGGGGAAAGGCGGCAGTGCCCCCCCAGCGTCCACGTCTCCCTTCCTCAGGGATCCCACCGATTTGTGACGTGCAAATCGGAGCAATGTGTAGAGAGGTTTTTTCTCCCTTGCAAAGTGTCTCCCGTTGCACAGGCGAGGTGTGTTTGGTGGGATGGCTTTGGCATCTTACAAAAGCATCCGTGTGTAGACTGTGGTCTCACCCTTCCAGCGTCTCCCGAGGTACCTGCTGGGTGCATGTCGGGACAGTCGTGCTCAATCCGCTGAGCGCAGGACACCTTTCCTCCTTCAGAAGGTGTCCTGGGAGCAGCTGGTTTGTAGCTGCTGTCCCAGATGCATTCAGAGGAACCATCTCTGTTCAGTGCACTCTCGGCCTTCTCCTCCCTTGTGGCTTCTCATGTGAATCACTGTCCAACAATTTCATTCGTTGTTTTCAGAGCTATGTATTGGGAAGGGGAAGTTTTAAGATGGAGATTCTGGTTTCTTCCTGAAGTCTTGTAGGACCTTTCCTCAGAACATTCTCTCTTCCCTCTCTCATCCCCTGTGTGTGAAATTATCTTGGTTTTGCTTTGCAGGAATTGTTTGTTGAAACCATAGCCAAAGATGCTTACGTGTACGCTCAGCAAGGAAAAAGGAAAACTCTGCAGAGAAAAGACCTGGGTATGAGAGCATGTTCTGTGCTATCCCTTAGCAAAGGGTTGCTAGGATGGAGACGGAGGATTTTTCCACCTGTCCTGGTGTGATGAAGCTTAGGTGCTTCTCTTTCTTCCTCTGAGGATGGGAGAAAAAAACCGTCCCTCTGCCAAATATTACGCTAATAATTTCACACACCAGCTCTAGAGGTTTAGACCAATTGGTCACTGAATTGTGATGCAAATTCAAATACTGCTGTTTGAAGCAGATGCAGATATGGAGTTGGTTTACCTATGTTAATTGTTGTCAATTCGTTTTGCAGATAATGCCATTGAAGCTATCGATGAATTCGCTTTTTTGGAAGGTGAATTTCTGCTCGGTTTCACCTGGTTTCAATATTTTGTGTAATTTCCTTCTTGGGAGAGAAAGAACTTAATCATTTGCAGAGCCCTCTGTTTCCACATCTTTAATAGCGTAACTTGTTATGCCCCTTGCTGAGAGGCGAAATCAAATCAAAATCCACAAATCAAGAGGACCCTGAGACACGTACAGTCTTTTTAGCTAGATTTGGTTTTACTCATGTGTGATTTGCTTAAACTTTAAAAAGTTACTGCCTATTCCTTTGGCAGCTTGTAAACAAGTTTCATTTGTTCACATAACTGCATTTCTGTTTCCTGAGACTATATTTTTTTTTTTTTTCATTTTTAGGTACTTTGGACTGAGCTGGACAGAGGTGGAGTGCTCTGGAGAAAGAGACTGCAGAGATAGATGTGGGGTGGAAAACAGGATGTGGAGAGTTCAAAAATGGTTCCTAGAATTGAGACACTGAAATGGCAACCATAATATTTTGTATAAAGTTTTAAGTTGTTGTAAGTTGTTTATTTAAAATGCATATTTTTTCATAAATATTTTGTATGTCACTTAACTCTGCCCTGCCGCCATGGTGCAGGCTGCTCTCCAGCTTGGCCGAGTCACCCAGCGGTGGCTCAGAGCAGCGGTCTCTGCCTCTCCAGGTCTGCAGCACCGCAAAGCTCTGAATGGAGAGCCTGGGCACAGTGAATTTTTTTTATTTACAGAAATGTATTTTTCTTTGTATATATTTGTTTCTTGGCCAAACACAATTAAATTTATTTTTTTGTTGTTGTTGAACAGCTGTCCTGATTTCTCCTCTGTGCTGCTGGGACAAAGGGCGTGGTGTTCCTGTAGCGCTGTGGTAAATGGCAGAGTTATGAAAGGATGCCTTCTAATAGCATTTTGCTTTTGCTAATTGTTTCCTCAAGGCAGCTGTCCCACTGAACCCCAGCTGTCTTCCAGGAACTATGTGTGAGCTCCAGGGAGACTTGGCTTGTTCCTAGGGGTGTACAAGCTTCCATAAATTTCTGTGATTGCTGCGCCCGTAAGTAATTGCAGCCAAACCCCCTCCTAAGCCCTGATGTTGGATGCCAGAGTGGTGTCCGATGAATTATGCTGCCATCACGGTTCTCTTGTGCGCTCTCATTCCTGAGTCCGGCAAAAAAATTTCCCTGGGAACTGAATCTGTTCCCTGCCACGTGCAGTTGTCCAGGTCGGTGCAGAGATCCTAACTTCAGTAATTCAGAGCCACATGCAGCAAGCGTTTGGGACACGGGCGTGTCTGTGTGAGTCCCTTACAGCACACGGGCACCATCTGTACTTCTGCTGTTTCCAGGACTCAGGAGACTAGTACTTTCCTACGTGTATTTAACAAGCTAGAAAGAAGCAGATGAGCCAGAGGCAGACTGAAAAGAGGCAGAAGGAGAGCCTGCTCAGTGTGGTTCTGGGGAACACGCTGTCATTGCTGATGTGGCTGAGTCCTACTGTGTTGCCATCTTTATCAAAGAGCCAGCTTTGGTCTTGGTTTTGGTGTTGTGGGGGGACAAAAGAGGGTTGTCCCTGGATAAAACGGCCGTTGAATGCGATGAGTGAGGATGAAGGATGCACGTTCCTTTCAAATGAGGGGACTTGAAAGTGACTCCAGTCACCACAAACTTAATTAGTTGGAAAGTGGTGGTAAGAACAAAGACCCCCAAAGGAGCTTGCCCAGGCTGGGAACAAAACCAGTTGCTCTCAAGAAACACTTTGAAGTTTGCTTGAAGCCTGATCCCTGTAGACATGATGTGGGAGAGATGCCATCACTGCCCAGGCTGCTTCGGTGTTTGTTCAGATCGCAGTCTGGAGACGTTTGCCAGGGGTACGCGAGCCCATTTGTCCCTGTCCACCTTCTCACCCGCTGCGCGGGCCCCGGTATAAGTATCAGAGCTACCGGAGACCTTTTTGTGTTTCCCGAGGTGCAGTATGCAGGACTCACTAGCTATAGTCTTCTTCGCAGGGCTCTTGCACGCTCCCATCTTTGCCAGTAAGGTCCTTTTTCCTTCTCGTCGTCTTTGACACTGCTTTGGCCTCTCGTGTAGGAGAGGAGGGCTTGCGTGGGTGTGCGGCGCGAGGCTGTGTGCGGGCTTTGTTCGCATCTGGTGCTTCTGTATGGGCACAGTGTATGTTTTCTGTGGTGCTTCACTGTGAGCAGCGTGGAGGAAATAAAAACTCAGCAAATAATTTGAGGTTTGTCTCAGAGGAAGCTGCTGCACAGAAATCTTTGGGGGGTTCAGTGCCGGTGAGCTGCTTTGTGCTGTGTGAGATTACTCCTCTTACCCGAGCTCGCGTTGCAGTCACGTAGAAGAGAGCAGGGCACTGGTGTCCTAAGATAAAACACTGCTAAATGCAGCCTTTTCTTGGAGTAATTAATCAATAGGGTGTTTAGCCCAACCAGCCAGGTCTGAGAGGCCCGATGGGCCATGTGCATTTGTAGCTGCTCTAAATCTCTCCCTTGCGCTGAAGCCATTTGGTTCAGACGGGAGGTGCCTGCGGGCTTGTGCTCGGCGCTCAGTGCCTCCTCCCAGCGCAAGCAGGAAAGATGATGAATTATAACTGGGGTAACGCTGGGCTCGGTGGTTTGTGACTGCGGGTGCCGGAGCCATCGGCAGAAAGGACAAGGGAACCTGTTTGCAGAGAGGGGCTGCTGCAGGAGGCAGAGCCGTTTCCTCCACGTTGGGCACGGTGAGTTCCCCCTTCGCCTGCAAGAAACCTGGATCCTTTAAGCTTCCCCACTGACGTTCCCACCCATGATCCCTCGGATGTTTCTTTACGTTGAAATTATCCTGGTGACTTTTCCCTCAAGGGGCTAAGGACAGGAATACGCTGGGGACTCGTTGCCCAGATAATCCAATGCTTAAAGCATGTTTTGTAGAACAGGAACTGGTCCCTAGGTCTGTTCATTGCATGAAAGAAGTTTCATTTTCTGTACCAGGGTCCTGCCGTGTGGTTGAATTTTGTGCTTGAATTCTGTGTTTGCCTCTGGTATTGTGTAAGTTCAGGATTACTGCAGACTTTTGATTCCCAGGATTAACATTGGAAGAGCTGCCAGCAAGACAGGGTGTCCTGACTTTACTGTGCAGAGAAAGTAGGAAATAGCTCCATTTGTTCACCAGAAAAAAAAAGTCTGTTGCCTTCAGGAGTAGCCTTTAGTCTCAGTTCCCCCTGCAGCAGCAGTAAGGCCTCATAAAATGAGCTTCAGCTGACTTTAGCACAGATAAGTGAGAATGGCTTTAACTGTGTGACCAAAAGTCTGAGGTTTCTTAGGGGTTTTTTTCAGTGCATGGGAGCAGTACTTGTACAAATTTAGCCTTTAGTGTTTGCAGAGTATCTGGTTCTTATGCAAACAGTAGGGATTATAAAATGATCATATCCAAATTAAGAACTGTCACAAGCAGTGACAGCTTGTCATCTCCAGAGGAAACAATTTCAGAATGGTGAAAATAGTGAAAAGAGTAATAGATAGTGATAAAAACAGTAGACATGGCCTGTATCGCTGAGGGGATGGGAGAGCAGGGGTTAATGGTGTCTCCAGCTGGCACAGCATCCTTTGCAAAGGAGCATCTGCAGGGATCGCCACCTGGGAATGGCTGAGACGCTGCAAATTGCTACCTGGCTTACTGCTCGCTTCCCTGGGCAAAGAAATCCTCGGGCAGCTGGCAGGAGCTATAGTAACCAAAATGGGATTTAAAATGTCCCGACGTACTTCCTGGTGTCGTGCAGCACGGCGATGAGGGCTGTCTCTTGCGCTGACACTGAAGAGCAGTTTTTAAATCGGTGCAGCGCACGCCGGGTCTGCAACTCCAGCAGCCTGAATTGCAGCAGATGAATGATAGTGGTGTTGAAGTACTCAGCGGGCACTTTTAAGGACAGTTTTCTTCCGCAGTGTACGATGAAATGAGGATTTACATCAATCAACCCTTTGAGCATGGACAGCACTATTGGGGGAAAAATAGCTCATTTTAGAAGGCTTTCCGGAAGGAACAGTCATTAGCCAAAAACCACTGATATTTTACAAACTCAAAAGACAGCAGAGTAAACCGGTCTAAACCTGGATGTCGTGGTCCCCTGTCTCCCCCATTCCCGTGCCTGCTCCCACCTTCCTGTCCTCTACCTGTAGTGCTGATGTGGCAATGCAACAGGTCTGGGGAGCTGTGAAATTGGGATCTGGGGGCGGGGGGAAGGGGGCAGATTTGTTTTCAGCTCAAGCAGCTCCATGAACAGGTTCATCGGGCTCTAGGCAAGGGCAGCCAGGTTTCTCTTTGCCCTGAACCCGCTGGGTGCTCGGGCTTGTTCAGTACGTTCAAGGTTTGCAGGGCAGCGACAGCTGAGCAGTCACCTTCCCCCTTTGCTAATCGACGTATTCATCTATTCTCACCCCGTGCTTCATGAGCTCACTAAAGAGTATAAATCCTACTGTTTCCTAGTGAATTCTTAATTGCATTCTTTTTATTCTGTAGTGCGCTGACCAGTCTATTATGAAATGTTTTCCTTCTGGGCTGCAAACGTGTCTGCAGTGCTAGTGAAGGGCTTTCTCTCTGGGGTTTCTGCAGGTGCTCAGGCTGATGGAATCTCTCTCCCAGACAGACTTCCCAGGGGTGGACATGTCTTTTTGTTCACTGTTTGTGTCCTTTTCATCGGCCCTGGTGTGAGCTAGGGCCTCCCCAGCATCACGCAAACAGTGAGGAGTAATCCTTTCGTCGATCTTGTGTTCCACAGATGCCTCTGGCAGTCCTGTCAGCGTGGACGTTGGAAAGTGTTGGTCCGGCTGCCTGTCCCAGCGGATCAGCTCCCCCCACCCCGGCCTCCTGGGGCTCTCCAGACACTCCTCCATGCTTGACTGCCTTAGAAGCAAGAAGGTGAGAAAAGTGTGTTATTGTTATCCCTGTGGCAGGAGCAGTTGGGTCTGGGTGAAGGTCACACAATGCTGCCTGGGGCTGCCATTTTCTAAATGTTTTAAAATACTTTTTCTTGGCTTCTGCATTTCAGAAAACCCGTCACTGAGCCTCTTGTCCTCCCTCAGCCAGCAAGCAGTGGCACATGCAGGCTGGACAACCGGAAAGTACCCAGCAACGCTGGGTGCCCCGTGGCAGAGGAAGGGCCAGGGTTCAGCTGAAGGGCTATCACAGCACCTACCCAGCTGCTCCGGGCAGCATCCAGGCGTGTTTCTGTCCTCCCCCAGCCCAGCAGTGAGACCAATTCGTTCAGCCGCTTCTACTGTACGTGAGAGCTGGTGTCCTGCATGTAGAGGGGTTGGAGGCCTTTTTCTGCCTGGTTGAGCAAAACTGGCAGGACCCGTGGTTTCATGATGAATATACCTTTGAGGTGCTCGTGTCATTCCCATACCGCATGCCGCGTATCGCTCCTAGGAGGGACTACGAGGAGCCCGTGCATTTGGGGACATAGCTATGCACAGGCTGCGATGCTCTCTGATCCCAGGAGAGCTGACGTTGCCTAAAGTCCCATCTCCACCAGGAGACCTAACCCCAGGAGGGAATGGAAACGAGCTCTGTACGGTGCTGCACGTGTGTGTCCTGTGAGCGTTCACCTGGGGGGCTCTAACTGTGAAAAATCTTGTTGCCACTTGTCCCACCGTTGTCACCGCTGTGGCACTGCTGGGGCAACGTCTTCCGGATGGGCAGGTCCACGTTCGTTCCCCAGAGCTGTCATCGCGCTGACGCTCCAGATCAGGAGCCTGGGGTGAAACAAGGACTGCTTTGTCCAAGAGAGTTCAGCTGGTGGTGGGAGGGTTTCGAGGAATGAACAGTTTTGATATCAATGTGTCACTGGGAAGAGCAGCACCACAGCAACGCAGTGCTGCCACGCAGGGAGAAAGGAGTAAAGGCTGAGTCAGTTCTAGGTCAGAAGAGGTTTTTATCAGGGAGCTGATGGTGGAAGTTGTTCTCCATGACCTGTTTTTACCAGTGTATTTGCCTCTTGCCCTGTTCTGTGCAGCTGCAGGTCAGGCATCCTGACTCGCTGCTGCGGCCGGGAGCCCCACGTTCCTGCCCTGCGGGTTCCTGCTGCCAGCCTGCCCCCGTGCACGTGGAGCGGGTCCTGCTCTTCGACGCCGTTCGGGAGGTGGAGGTGGTCGACGGCTGTCACTGCAGCAGGTGCCCAGAGGAATGTCTCCATCTCCCAGCTCTGAAAACCTTCTTTCCAGGCTCTCCCTGGGAGCTCACGTGGGGAAATACTCTGACCTGACCTACAGTGCAGGTGTGGGAATGATGGGGAGCTCCCCTCCTTCAGGAATATAGGGATGATCCCTTCTGTGTGACCAGCACCAACGTCAGAGCTCAGAGCGTGGTCTAACAACGCTCCGGTCTGCTACGCAGCCCCTCTTTGCCTTAGGTGGGAGTGGGATTTTATACTGCCAGGGTTTGGGTTTTCTTTTCCCTTCTGCTGCTGGGCCCTTAGAGCACAGGTCTGCAGGTGAAAGGGTAATTCCCTGCCCCTGTGCATGGTGTGAGGATGGAAATACAACCACCTCGTGTTACCTTCCCCTAACCAGACGTCATAGAGTAACCCAGGCTGGGAAGAACCCTGGGGTCTCTGTTCCAACCCCCACACACACACTCAAAGCAAGAAAAACAACCTGATGATAAAAGCTCTACTGAGAACAGACCACTTAGCAACCACTGAAAAATGGAGTTTCCTTTCTGATGGTCTGAAATGCCCTTTCATCTCAGCACCAAGCTACACTGATGTTTCAAAAATCACTTTGAAATTCCAAACTAAATCGTTCCAGACAGGTCAAAACCTTCCACTGGGATAAAGCTGAACTGGTTCGTCCTGAGCTGGTGTGCTGTCTTGTGAGTTCACACATAAAACGGCCTGAGTCACATCAGTGAAGATGAACTGATCTGGTGTTATCAGAACAGAAAGTCGCGTTGAAATGATTTTCTATGACTGCTTGATAAAATCAGTTCACCTGGAATATGTTGATCTCATTTTATTGGTGTTAAAAGCTTCCCTGTGACACAGCTGTGCAGCAGCCACTAGAGAGGGACAGAGACCGACGCGAGTCCTGTCGTGAGCTTGAAAAGCATCGAAGGGCCCTGAGCTGGAGGGGTGGCGGGGAAACAGAACCCCAAGGGGCTCAGCTTGCGGGTCTGCGTCCCATCCTCCCCAAGCTGGAGGGTCCGCACGCAGGCATCTGCGGCCCGCGCGGTAATCCGGCTGCAAGACACAGCGAGTGGAAAAGAAAATTAGGCAGCGTGAAGTGCTTTTTTCCAGAGGTGGGAGAATCAGCATTTACTTCCCAGAGGTGTGAGTGGAAGGTGCTGGACGATGCTGTTGTCCCCCGCTCCGGGGGGTGGCTAATGGACTGTGGCTCATTCGGTGATAATGGCCCAGGGCTGGGAAATGGGGACTCGCCTCCAGCTTTGCCTCTGTCCTAGGGCAGGTCTCTGCACTTTCCTTCTGGGTTTCCCCCGTAAAGTCAGGCTGACGCTTTCAGCGTCGCGTTAAAGACTGGACACGCGGCAGAGAAGCGGCGGAGGGGGGCTGGAGAAGGATGTTAAAATCTCACCCAGAAATACTGGCTTCCAGAAATGAGTTGTCGTTTTGTGTGGCCCCCACCCCCTTAAGGCATCGCAGAGAGATTTGCTTTCAGAAAACACTTTTCCCTCCGCTGAAAACACAGCCCCATCCTGGAACAAAGAAATCTCCAGCAGCTGGGAGGGGGCAGGAAACTCTCAGAACCATTTTAAAGCCCGGAACCAAACGCAAGCCCTGAAGGACCTGCACCCGAGGGCTGGGACAGGGCAAGACTAGGTCCTATTTAGAGCCAAAACCCAAGACTGACTTAGCCATCATCTTAGCCATCCTTCTTCCCCTCCTCTAGCTCATGCAACGGAGATGTTAATCCTAATTTACTTGGTGAGGGAGAGGAAAGCTGGGAGGTTTAGCAGATGAACTGTTTCTTTCCATGCAGAACAGACGTTCAGACTGAGATAGGCAGGACAGTCTGTGCCTGTTTCCTTCCAACCGGACGTGAGTTATTGCTGGAGGAGCCTCCGTCTCTCCTCTGGAGCTGCTGAGCCCCTGCCTGGGCCAGCCGGGACCTGGCCTGGAGGTGACACGGCAGCGAGACGCAGGCTTTCAGCGTGTCTGCCCAACGCCTCCCTCGCCCCGCGCTCCACACGGCTTCCTTAACAGGCTAGGTATGTCAAATCCAAACATAACTTATCCTGTGCCTCCAGAACCGGGGCCATCGCCTGCCTTCCCCTTCCTCCCCTCTTGGACCGTTCTTCCTCCATCCCACGACGCCGGTAGGGCAGATGTGATAACTCGTGCTGACGTGGGGAGATGCTGCCTCCATTGCCCCAGCTCCGGCCGGCTCATCTCCTTGCATGGAGAGCTGTGAGCCCAGCCCAGAGCAAAGCCCTCGGAGATGCCTGGGGAATATATTTCCAGGAGAGCTGGTGCCACTGGTGGCTCCAGCACCTGAGAAAGCCGTGCAGGGCACAGCCCCCTGGCAAATCCAGAGAGAAACGCTGAATGAGTGTTAAATAATGTTCCCCAGCTCCCTGGTGTGAGAGCACGTCTCTGGAAAAAGCGTTGCCATGAATATTTTATGTTCAAAGACCTTTTTTTCTCAAATATAATGTGTAATAGGCTGTGTCTGCAGAGACAGGGCTGTCACAGGGCAGGTGCAGGGGTCACAATTTACACCCAGAATAACCTCTCTTCGCCCTGTGGTCTGAAACGGAGATGGAGGAACAAAACCTATCACTGAAGTCCTGAGCTGGTGAAGGAATGAGCCCCAAACTCTCAGCTGGGGACCCTCACACAGAAAACAGCACTTTCCCCACCGGCGCGCTGAATGCCGGAGCCTGATGCCGGCTCTGTGCCGCACGGCAGACCCCCCTGCCGAAGATGTTGCAGCCGTAGTGGCCTCAGACGCAGCCCCGGATTAAATTTCCTTCTGGTTTCCTTGCAGGTGGACTTTTCTGCGTGCCCACAAAGTTCAACACCGCTCTAGTCCAAAACCCACAAAGCGGGGAGGTGGTTCGGATGCCGGAGAACTGCGAGGTGAGGGGAAAAATGTTACCGTGTTTCCCAGGTGGAATATTGTTATGGAATTGCGCACGGCTCTGCGGGACGGAGGGAGGAACGGCTCAAGGTTGGTGGTCCGTGGCTTGGTCTCCTCTCCGGTGGGCTCAGCTGGGCCCACACGTGGGGTGTGAGCAGCCGGGTGGATGCTCGGACACGGGCAGCTTCACCCTGGTAGAGCTAAGCACACCCAGGCCACAAACTATAGCGGTAAAAAGGTCTCACAATTATATTATCTTATGCTATAAAATGTATTTTACTGCCACTAATTTGTGTATGCGTCAGTGCCATTAAGTAACAAGTGGTCTTTTCTTTGGGCTGAGGATTTCTTTAAAAAATAATTAAGGGAGTAGTGAGATACTCATTTAAAAAATTATTTAATCATGAAGTATATCTTAAGCTCAGTTCACCGGAGACTGTACTCTCTTCTTCAGCATAGCTTTTGTGCACAGGGACCTCAAAAAACACTGGTGTGCCCCCCAAATACTTCTCCTTACCAGCTTTGCCTCTCCTGTAAGTTCAGCCTGGGTGAGGGTGGGCCGGTCCCCTGGGGTGTCCCCAGCCGGGTGCTGCAGGGGATTTTCATGCCTTTGTTTTGCAAATCTTTGCAGGAAATTGATGTGGGAAGGTGCTTGGGCAGCTGCTCCTCGGGGGAGCCCTGCTCCCTTAGGTAAGCACAGCTGTGCCGGGATCCCGCCGCTCTGGTCCGGGCGCATCCGCACACGTTCGGAGGCAGCTGGGAGCTGTTCCTGTTTCTCTCGAGGGATGGATCTGCTGCTCCCCGGGGCAGGACCTGGGTTCTGGGGAGCACCCACAGCTCCTCTGGGCTGTGTCTAACCACGTAGGGACAAAACTGAAGCGGAGCAGCGTTTGCAGCGGTGCTACAGCAGCATGCCGCTCCGAGGGATGACGAAGAACCTGCCACCGGTGATGCCGAATTTGGCCTGTTTGGCAGCTGCTTATAAAGCTTGTGGTCCCCCAGGATAGCAGGCACAGATGGGAAGAGGATCCTGACAGTGGGATGTGCCGTTCCTGCTCCCTGCCTGCCATCCCGTGGGGCAGGAGGAGGACGAGGAGGAGGAGGAGGGAGATGCTCTGGGGCAGGGTTGCTCCAGACACTTGGTTTTTTTCAGGCCGGGGGACAGCACTGTGTGTCACCTGCAGACACAAAAACGTGACAAACACAAAGGGAAGCAAATCAAACCACAAATAAAGAAATAATCCCTGCTTTGCACAGGCAGAGAGGGAGGAGACGGTTCACTGAGTTACACCAGGAGTAAGGAATAGATGCCAGCGGGAGAAAGCTGCGTCCCTTTTCCTCCACCGCCCTGGTTCGGGGCATCTGCCCTGTGTCCAGGGGACGACACGCCGGGCCCCGGGGCGCGGGGGCCCAGGGGATGTACGGGGTTTGTCTCTAAACGCAGGGA